CTCAAATGCAACACATTTACACGTTTTAATTACCGAAAACCGATTAAACCAAAACAATCATACTGACTCATTTAAATTAAACTATAAACATTCCAATTTAATTCACACAATTCTGAAATGTAGTCATTTTCAGTGTAAAATGGGAATTACAAACCAATCAGCAATCCCCTTGTAACAATCCCTTGGAACTGAAAGGACTATTTCCCTTTGAAGAAGGCAAAACCTCCAGCAGAACCTGACTTGTTAAGCAGAGACAAAAGTCACAGAATCACTGATCTAAGAGGACTTTCCAGGAAACATAGAGTACACAGATGAAGCAGTTGCTAGTGGCTTCATCTAAATAGAAATGGCTGCCAATCTGATCTGACATCTCAGCCACTCTTGGGAGGTCCAAGCAGGGAGGTCCAACAGCTCTTGACCTGGATGCGTATTCTACTGGTCCTGTCACTCGACCCTGGATTTAGTGGTAGATGATTAAAGGATGGATTTTTTTTTTCTTAAAAATGTTTGTACCAGTGAAAACTGTGTATTGTAAAGGCAAAGAAACCCATCTCATGTCAATTTCAGTCTACACTGGTCTATCTAGTGGTCTGAGGAACAGAGGTGAACTGGTGACTGGGTCATAGGCCAAGGCTTGCTGATGCAAATGGGGATTCATCACAAGTGAGAGGTGGTGGTGTAGCATCTGACTTTCCCAGGTCTCAATCTAATCCCTGCGTTTGTTGGATGTACAAGACCAAACCATTCCAAAAAATGGAGGCCAGACCTGTTAGCTTACTAGACTGAAATTATCTGCTGCTAAGATTTTGGTACCAGATACCTCAGCACGCCCTGACTCCCTCCCTAGCTTGGCTTCAGTCTATATATGCTGCGTGATGACTAAAATTATCAGAAGAGCACACATAACACTAGCCTGTTCTAAATACATTCTGGACCTTTTGGATCCTCTAACTTCTTCTAGCTTTGCCCTAGATAAAGTTGACAACTCGCTATGTTGTCAACATTTGACAACATGGTGAGTCAAATGTTGGTTGTACCTTCAACCCATTTTAAAGCCTTTGGGGACCATGCTTTTTGAAGCTCAGAGGCTTTGGAACACTTTCCCACTGTCCTCACATTGCAGACTCCACTGACTCAAACAACTTAAAAGGGCAGTATTATGTGTTTTCCAGGCACATAGTGCCATTTTATAGCACAATCAAGTAACTATGATAATTTCAGTTGATATTATATAATATTTATTTATATAGTAAATAAATATATCATATTTATTTATGGCCACCTTTGCTAGAGTAGAAAAAAAACAAAAAAGTATGTCTTTAAAGAGGTTTTGTCTTTATTGGGAAGTTGTAGTTGAAAGGAGGAGAAGCACACCCAGAGTTAAACAGCAGAGTTTGGATTGTCAAAGCTGCAGCATCTTATCATATCATTTATGATCTGTGCACAGGTCACAGACGACTGTATGTTTCTATATTCATGGTGAACTGAGGTCTCTAATCAACACAAATACTGCATGGTCATCATAAACCATATGGTGAGCTCAGGGCAAATGGAAAGACAGGCCTGAGATGCTTCAGAAAACACAGGAGAAAAAGCAAAGATATTGCAAAAAAAAAAGTTGTACTTTTAGCAGATTTAAAAGAAATGAGAGAAATCAAAATCTAAGAAATAGTCACAGTTTGTCTCATTCAACTTGAATGCACATAAGCCTTTATAAAGGCACTGTCCATTCGCTTCACTGTCCTAAAAACTAGCACAGAAAAAAATACATTGCACATGGATCTCTGTGAGGAAAATACAAAATCACTTAGAAAGAAGACAGGAAGACAGGAAGACAGAAGACAGAAGACACCAATATGCAATGATTTTGTATCATTGCATATTGGTGTGCTGGTTAAAGTTATGTTAAGTAGTCCTTAGTGTTGAAGGCACCCTTGAGAGTTGAAGGGTTTGGCATTGTTTAGGATTTGCAGACAGAGAATATATTTAGCCAGAAAAATAAAGTATCAAATTACAATAAGGCTTCAATAGAAACTTGTAGCTTATTCAAACATTAAAACATAACTTACTCTTTTAAATTGCAATAAAATAAAACAAATGTAGCACAATCCTAATTCTTAAGTAAGCTATAATGAACTCTTCATGTGGTTTGAATCCTTCAGACAAAGTTGCACATTTCAACTTAACACAATTCTTCTTTCTACAGTTCTTCAAAGAAGTCCCTATAACAACATCAACACTATAACACCTGTAGTGGTCCAGCCCTTGCAATTAAACCACCAACTATAACAGACAAAAACAGTAACACAGTCATGTTATACATGTTTAAGTGCACTGGAAGTGCAGAACTGTAAAAGTACCATTCAAAGTGCATCTGATTTAACAACAAAAAGTCAACCCAATTACACAATCACAAAAAAGACTGTTTTAAGACAACATCAGATTAAGTGATCTGAATAGGAGTTAGAACAAAATGACCACAGACACTACGGTCCGGTTGGCACACGGAGCGCTACAATCAACCAGCTTTATCAGCTGCTGATGGAAAGTAGCCGGTGGCAAAATGGAAAGTACAGTACTGCTTGTGTCATGCTTGCTTGGCACTTGTTTGGTGGCATTGACTGCTTCCCTCCAAAGAGCAAAATATTGATTTGTGAGAGAGAAAAAAGAGGAAAAATGTGGCATAGGCAACTCTCCGATGGTAATCCCCTGGGTTTTTACAGCTACATTAATCCTATCCTATTTGTTGAGTCGTTTAAAAACACAGTCATCGAACTGATGTCTGACTAAAATGGACATGAATGTAGTGCTAAAAGTATTCAAAGCTGGTTATTTTTTTGTAGTTTCTGCTTGACATCTGCACTGATTGCTCTTTGTCATAAAACAGCTATCATTTTTGGCTTAAACCCTTAAAAATCACTAACAGGGCTTTACCAGTGTAATAGAATCCACACAAAAACTCATTCTGAACCAAACATCTTGAATGCAAAATTTTGTAGGAGCAGAAATAATAAAAACTGTACAAGAAAACTCCTGATACATTTTGAATGGAAAACCCTGCCTCAGTACCGGACAATCATTTCTGTTTTTTCGACACTAGAAGGCAGCATCTGCCCTCCCTGAAAGTCTTTGGGTGTAATTCCTGAAGAGCCCAGCAGTCATGCAGGCTTTGTTTCTTAATTCTGAATGAAAATGTGCTACTTTAGGATTATAAAAAGGGGGGAAAAAAACAAAACATTATATTTGTCTGATGAACACAACAGAAAGCACGCTGCATCTCAAGCAATAACAAGTGTTGCTGTGCCAATATAGTAACAGTGAAGTAGTCAATCAAAACATGCTACATTTAGTTCATATTACACATATTAATCTGCATACGTTCTTTTACTCCAATAACTTTATTCCTCTGTGTTCTGTTTTTACTGACTATTCAAATAGAGAATAAATAGAGATAAGAGAGAAGAATACGCTACAGCCTCCTGATAAAAAATCAGGCAGAATAGAAACTGTCCTTCTAATCTGCATGGCAACAACTATTAAAGGACCTTTTTTATAGTGCTTCATCACTTTCTCAGTTTCATCACTGAGAAGTTTCATCAATTCTGAGAAGACACCTCAGTCTTTAGTTTTAGACCTTTGACTGACTGGTAGAGCCTTTTTTTACTTCTTGTCCTCATTATATGAAAACAAAGAAGACAACAGACAGGTAGGAAAGTTGTTTTGTGTCTTTCATGGAACAGTGTTCAAACCTGTCAGTGTTTTTTTCAGTGCAAGGAACCATCCTCATCCTCCACACAAATATCTACACTTCAATAACTTTACACTGTCACCCTGTTGGGGGAGACTTGGAGAAGGACAGCATCAGTTTGAAATGAAGGAAGAACAGTGACAGAGGACAAGGCACTGATATCAATCTGAGTGAAACAAAGAAGGTCTGAGGGGGAGACGCTTGTGGCTGGTGCTATGTGCCGAGTCTGAAACGTGGGACCACAGAGGGGCCTTCTGGGTCTGTTTCTCTGTCTTCTGCCATATCATTTTCAGAGTCCAGAGAAAATGTCCTGCCTGAGTCACTGGTGAGGATCTTGTTGAGCCGTCGAGTTGGTATGGATCCAGAATCAAACGCACCGCTGTGTTTGGTTAGGCTTCTGCTACCCTTCTCCTCTCTTGGTGAGCCCTCCGTGTCAGACTCACCCTCTTCCTCTAAAGTCAGTGCAAACTGGAACTTCTCGGCCATCATGGAACCTGGGCCCTCGCCGGGCACCGAGGCTTCCTCCAGAGACCCCCTTCCTCCCTGGCCATGGGGCCTAGGCGAGGGGCTGCGAGGGATCATGCTCTGGTACCACTCTCTGTTGTCCTCCAGCGTGTCCAAGATCTCCTGAGCATCAGGGTGCACCAGGTCAGCCCACGTCTCCCAGAGCGGATGGACGATGTAGTCGATGAAGCCCACCTGGAAAACACCAGTCACATGCTGTCGGTATGTTCTGAGCACTCTGATCCTGACCTAGCTGGAGCATCTCTCCCTACCTGGTTCTTCTCTATGGAGGCGTTGTGTTTGTCACACATGGGGCTGATCTCCATTCCTTTGTCTCTCTCCCTGTCACCCTGAGTGAAGAACTCCACCATGATGCGGTCTGTCCACTTACGGTACAGTTCAAGGGGTTTGGTGGGATTGCTCAGGTCCGCGCAGTGCACCATGTTCTGAAGAACCTGCATGAAGAAGTCAGCGGAAGACTGAATAAATCCAGCACTTTCAAATCTCTTTATCTTTTATTTACATTTTCTGACATTACAACCTCAGACTTCCATGGATTTTATTGGGATTTTCTTGGATAGCCCAACACAGATCAGTGCATGATTGTAACATCAGAGACTGCTTTGTGTTGCTCTATCACATAAAAGACCAGCATGAATACACATGAATACTTTGGAAAGACCTATAAAGTCACACAGGTTTTTCATCCAAATGTCTTTCAAATTTTGAGCAAACTTTTAATGTGTTGCAAAAAAGGAAAAAACATTCATGATTCTATGAGAAAATCAATCAGGCTTCACAAAGTGTGATTATGTCAGATGTTGACGTTGTGCTTGGTTATGAAAAAAACAGGAATTAGACAATGGAAACTACAATGAACCACACCTCAGGAAAATAGAGAGAGGTTTTCAGGAATAAATTGTAATTGTTCTGTCATGTCGGTGATGTTTATGTCTGCAGACATAAAGAAAGAAATACAATTCTAATCCACACCTACATTGAGGGAGTTTTGAATTTTGCCATTTCCATGAACCTTTTCTGATGAGATTTTTCACAATGCGCATTTAAAACACAGAAAAATGACTGCATTCTGCTTTTTCTTTCTTTGTTTGTTTCTTCTTCACTTGTGTTGTTAGAAAGCATTTCTCACCTGTATGCGATCTGAATAGTTGTCCAGCAGGAGAACACCCAGATTGGTTACTTTCTTTGTCTCCACCATGGTTTTTAAGTCTGCTAGTAGGTTCATGTGTTTTGACATGTCAGTGGCCAGCACCTGCAAGCGCATCAATCAGATTAAATTACACCTGGCAAGCGAAACTCTCTCTATAAAAAAAGCAGCAGCTAAACTGAGCGGGTTGAGATGTTGGCGTTACCATGTCGATGACCATCTTGCGCAGAGACTGTCTCTGTTTTTTGCTCAGGTTCTGGAAGATGTCACAGTTATCCTCCTGCAGAAGCTTAAAACCCACGGCCAGGTGATGGTTCTCCAGCACTGACAGATCATTGTACATCAGGGCCAGCTCAGAGTCTAATGGACACATCAAAGAGAACCATAAGGATGAGAAAAATACCTTGTCCAAATCAAACTCACACTATTCTTGTGGAATTATGTAAACTCACTGGTGTTGATGAGAAACTGGTTGGAAACTCCAGGGTGATCCACATCATGGATGGAGCTGGCAAACAGTGCGGCCAGAATTTCCAGATCAGTAAATACGGCCTTACAAAGCCAAACAGGAGAGTCAACAGGCATTAGTGATGGATGAAGCTCGGCTTTGATAGATCCTACTGTTCACGTTTCTGTCCAGCTATACCTCCAGAGCAGGGGTGGACAGCAGCACGTGCGTGGACTGCACCACATCTGCAGCGTGGATGTTGTTATGGTAAGCCACGTCAGAGCGGTAATGATCCTCCAGTGTCATCATGAAGTTAATAAAATGGTCTACAGGAATCTTGAATGTTTTCAGCAAATCGCGCTCCTATAGAAGGAGAACAAAACAGACACTGGCTTAGGGGATATAGAGACGGAAGTTATTTGGTGAAATGTAAAAAGACATTTCAGTACACCACGCCATCATCTGATGTAACAGCATCTGAGGTTTTCCTATAACTTTGGGCACCTGAAAGATTGTGTACATTGTGACTGTCAATGGGCGTTTTCCAGAGTACTCTGCAACCTTGAAGATGTCGAGTCCCCATCTGTCAACGTCCTCAAGCTCCTGCCAAGGTGTAAGATAGGTTTTATTAAATAACATGCAATATCCATGGTTCAGTGCATTTTCCCCATATTTACAACAAGTAAGTGATGAACTTGTACTTTTGCGAGGAACTCCTCCTGACTAGCGTTGACCCCAAAGCGAGGGATGGTGGAGGGAACAAGGCTGTGGGTGACCTTCTTGACGCCACTGATCTGGGACATGGGACGCTTCTTTTTGTCTTTCTCCTTGGTAGGAGGAGACATAATGTCCATGTCATCTGGCTTCTCTGTTAACATAGGTTGGACACATTTAGTGTAGGAATTTCTCAGTAATCATATAACAAAGTTTACAGTCTTATGAGATTCATATGTATTCATATATTTTCTCGGATTTTGTCACATTACTAAAACAAATTTTGTGTTTTTTATCACATAAAATCCCAAATAAATTAACTAAGTGACACAGAACTATAAAGAGATATTAAAAGATTGTACAGCTTTGTATGGTATAAACAGTAAGCCCTTTTTACTATGATATCCCTTAAATAAAATCTAAAAAAAATTAGAGACTATTTTTCTTCAAAGGTCAATTAGTTTAGTCTCAATATACAAACAACTGTTCTCTGAAGGCCTCATGCAAAACAATACAGGTTGTGTAAAACAACGCCGTACATCATCCTGAACACTTCACTCCCTCTTTAACACATGATGACAACAGCGTCATGGTAAGAGGATACTTGTCTTAACCTGGAAGAAAACCTCCTGGAGTCTGCAAAATGATTGAAACAGGGGAAAGGTTGACCTTCAGGCAGAACATACAACCATCATAACTGTCCTTGTTCATTTCTTGCAAATGGAAATATTTCCAAATCACCTTTGTTAGAAAGGTGTAAAATGCATAGGATCATTTTATATGGCCAGCTGACTGGCAGTGAGCAGCGAACATCATGGCATGGAGTGCATCCCAGTTTTCCATGTCTAGCATATAACCATTAATTTTAGCTTTTAAACTGGTTATATTGATCCTGTGTCCAGATAGAGGGATAATCAGTAGCCCAGCATCATGACCTGTTTGTTCTGAAGATCCTGCAGCTTCATCTTCCTAACATGGCTCCTCCTCATCCTGACAGGAGGAACCTCAGAGCTCTGTTAGGTTAAAGCTCATCTTCTGAAGTTGGGATACTTTTCCTCCAACAGGTTCCAGAGGAATCACCTCAAACCAGATGTTGGACTGGAATTTATTTCACCGTCATTTGTGAATGTTAGAGCCTCATTTTCAACAGTGGAGTTATAAAGGTTGAAAAAGGTTATTATTTTGGAGAAAATCTCATCAACATCAATATTTCCACTAAATAAGAGACAAAAAAATTGTATGATAAAGGAAAAGCCTCTCAGACTCTGAGCCCGACAGCACCAAACTATTTTTTTATATTAGACAATTAATTTAATTTCACATAATTATCGCGGTAGAAGCCATTTGTTTGTTAAATACTTAATGAAACATATTTAGCGTGTTTGATGTTTGTTGTGAATGACATGGTATACTCGCAGACGCAGCAAAGGTAAACAAAGGTAAAATAACTGAACAGGTGATCAACTCAAAACCACTCGCACCTTTTTGCTCTCTGTTGTTTAAGCACACCCGTTGCCGTGGCAACCGCTCTCTCCTTGAGCCGAGCACAGATTACGTTTAAAACATTCAGTCCGTTACGATATTAGGTTTGAAGGTTTGATATTTATTTTGCGATCATTAATAAACGCTCCCTGAACACAGCGGTGGTTGATTAGTTAATTTTAAACTCCTGCTCTACTAGTTATTTTGGTAATGGAACCGAAACGCACAGAATTGCGCAACACCTTGTTGAAACAATAATCACTGAGATTATTATTGTTGTTGGGTCATTAATTTGAGCACGTTTTTTTTTTGTTGTTTTTGTTCTTTAATAAAGTTAAGAATGTTTTAAACCAGTCAGAGGAGGACGTGCTGGTCTCAGCGTCCTGTAGGTGTTCAGTTTGTCACCTAATGCCGAGATCGACTCAAAACCTTCCGCGATCCACGTGTTGCAGCCCTGCTCTAGTAAAGCACGAACAGTTAAGAAACAATATGAAATGGGAAAAAAAGTTATTAACTGATTAAGTCGGGTTTTAGATTGTTCTTGAAAAACTAATCAGTCACAGCTGATTAGTGGGTTAATTCACGGCTGCACAGTGAACCCATTGATTCTTTACAGCTGACAGCCGCTCCTCTCTCTTGCAGGTACTGCATTATAGCCCCACTAAATCTTTAAGGGGTACGCAGTACCCTGCCGTACCCTCCTACTTTCACCCCTGGCTGTAACACAGACTGCTACAAAACATCTTTCCTGCCAACAGCCATCAACATCTACAGTAACTCTTTGAAAAACATTGAATTAATATGAGTTACAACAACATTTAATTTCCCTTTGGGAAATTCAGTTCAAAAGTGGTTTTGAACTGAATTTGAATTTACTTGAATTAAAACATATGGATGTTTGTAGTTGTAAAGTGACAAAATAAGAAAAGATTAGTATGAATACTTTTGTACCATCCATACACATTTCCCTGGAGCAGCCTAAAAGGAGAAGCTATTTACCAAGAAAAGTGCTGGAGATGAACTCAGACACCTGGTTCCCAGAGCGGCTGGTCTCTGACAGCTGACTGAGCTCTCGGTTCAGCATTCTCTTGAACTGAGGACAAACAAAAGAAGCATGCATGAGGCACGTCAAACAGAACACAACAAGTTGGTTCAGTTGGACTTTTTCAGTAATGAATCAAAACAAAGGCTTTTCTGGAAAATCATATACAAACACAACCTGTTTAATGTGATCAGCTGAGAAAAAATAATGACAGGTTTGCAAAAGGTTGCAAAAATGCTGTGCACAATGATTGATGCACTTTGCAGAAAACGTTTAAGAAAATTCCGTCTCATGTTTCATCCAGCAGGTGCTGGTGTCTTCTCAGCCTCTAGACAGGCAACAATAAACCCAGGTGCAGTCTCACCCTTTCCACCAGGTTCATGGCCACCCTCCTCTAACCTGAGCAAACGTCCACGGCAAAGAGATAAAACAGTTCACTTCTGGCATCTCAGCACAAAGTTGCACATAGGAGCCAGATTAAAAAAGTAAATAAAAGACAATAGTTTCCTTCTCCTCCTGATTAACAGAACATCCTACTTAAATCCAGTTCAAACAGAGAGTGCAGCAGTTCATTTGGTAAAGCTGTGAGCAGCGCCATAGAGGCTGATGTCAGAACAAAAGGATGGAGCCGCAGCAGAGGGAATGCAGAGGGATGTGAAGCCGAGCAACCACTGTGCTGCACCACGCTCCCCCTGACCCTTCCTCATTCACACTATTGCTGCCTGCATGTAAACAGAGGCAAGAGCTACTCCAGTGTCTGCCTCCTTCAGAAAAAAAAGAAGTCTTAGAATAGCAGCCAATGGGGCAGCAGCTACAGCTAGGGAATCAATGGGCTGTCATTGGAGAGGAGATCCACAGAGTAGGCAGGGCAGATGGAAGCAGGGATTGCGAGGTGCACCATGTGCATGGAGTGTAAAGAAGATAGGAGCGGAAAACACTGAATGGATGTGAAGAAGAGCTTTACTGATCGAGCAGGGAATAAAAATAGGATACCATACACCACAGGAATATGCTGACTTATACTGTCATTCATTCAGATCAACCGGATGACTTGGTGGTGGATCTGAACACTCCACATTTTGAAATCAACTAAAAACAAATTAATTCTTAGAAGATTGAAAACAACGGAAAATGAATGAAATTCGATAGAAATGTACCATCCTTTCTTCATCCAGTCAAGTTTTTGTGAAAATATTAATCAAGACATTAGAGGTTGAAAGAGCAATGGTTGGCAAGGTTCCCAAACAAGCAATTGGGCTTACGTGTTCCGTAGATGTATTCTAAGAACAGTTAAAAACATAAAACAGTTTTCTCCCATTTGTGGATGGGTGTGTGTGTATGTTGTATTGCTAGAAGTTGTTGTAGGGATTGTATCTCTGTTGGCTGTTTATCTTATGCTTAGACCTAGGGTGTGTTCGGAGTGGGTAGGGTTTTGGGAGAAATCAGCTTGCAAAACAGTTCAGTTACATTAATGGTAAGAGAATTGTTCAGAGGGTGTGTGTGGGGGTAGAGGGGTGCACTATGAATACTTCAGTCAGAGGGAGAAAACCAAATTATGCCTAAGCATCTCCCTCTGTTGGAATCCAGATGGATTCCTATAAATAAAAATGTATCAGAAATCTCTCAGAGCTATTAGGATACCATAGAAATTATTGAGTAAAACTGCCATATTACATAAGGCATCCAGCTTCTCCATGCAGTAGCCCTGAAATGTGAGACAGAACCGTGTGAAAAAAAAGAAGAAAAAAAAACAAGAAAGAATTATAATTTATGGCTTCTACACTGAAGAGTTGTTGAAACAATTTAAAGGTTTGATAAACCATAAAACACAATTCTTAATCTCTGTGATTTGAAACCAAAATTCCCACAACAAACTACATTTAGAACCATCTGAAAGTGTTACTAAATGTGTGCATACTGTGCTGACCGATGATGCAGCACATTTAGGTCGTAGCCCGTTTCATCCAACCTGACCAATATGAAAGTTTCTGAGACGAAATCAGGACCAAGCACTTTGAGACCTTTTCAGATTTCTTTTTAAATTGGTACCATTGATTAAAACTTTAGCAATCCCTTTTTGACCAGGACATGCCCTTTAACTTGTCGAGGAAGACAGCATTCTTTCAGTTGTGTTCTGTTGCCAAGATGAACCCTGTCCCATGCCATGGTGATGCAGAAATACAGACCCATCCATCTGCCACTTCTGTCCCAACAAAATGGCTTGTACAGAAGTACACAGAGTTGACTGTATGTAGCTTAATCTGAAATGAATCTGTTTACTTTTTCTGAACATCATTTTTTTCCAAAAATGACTGCATTGTTTTAATGCACAGCTGGAATCTGATTATTTTAAACGGCAACCAGATACACATGTTTCCTGAGCTCCTTTACAGAATATGAGCTCTGAAGCTAGCTGCATGAAGCAAGTAGACCCAACTATGTTCAATCTCTCGATAGGTGTCTATGTTTAGCTAGTCACTCTGGCCCTGTCCAGACCAGCAGGCTGTTAGTGAGTTAGAGGCAGGGTTCTGTTAACCTACCTTGTTGGAAGCCATCTCGCTGACAGAGTGTCGAGTTTTCAGCGTGTCTAGTTGATCTAGACACCAGTCCAGCTCATCCAGAGTCTCTATGGCCAGCTGTTGGTGGGGCTCCTCTGTTCCAGATCAGAACAAACAGGCATTAAGGCACCAAGAACTTTTTTATATACATTATTAGAAATGCATCAAGAGATGCAAATACACAAATGATTTAATTCCCTTTTTAAAAAGGAAAACCAATATTTTCTTTCCTAAAGTGTAATAACAGCATTCTTTTAGTGAATGTTTGATCACTTGTAGCAAAAGGTGCATCTAGAGCTCAAAAATCATTCTAACATGAAAAGCTCGGGCCTTTCGGCCTTTCTGCTGGACTGAACATCAATACAGTGCAGGGCTGATCTGGTGACTTATTTTTTGATTAACTGGATGCACAAGATGCTTAATATGAGATTTTTTTTGCCACTTGAGGAGTTCTGGGTAGAAGATTTTCATAGAGAAATTTTCTTTGAAACTTCAATGCAAAATGCTCATATTTTTTGTGCAGTTTTGGCTTAATTACTGCTCTGAACATGCTCTTTTAACAAACGGTCTTTTGTTGAATCTGTATAATCCAGTTAACAATTAATCAATTACTAAATTAGTTACAGTTACTTCAATAATTGATTCATCACTATTAATTTGATTAGTCATATCAGCGCTACAATTAATATAAGAGCGGCATAATAGACAAACAAATTTGAAGTATTGACTCAGGGGGTTCAATGTATGCCGCACTTCTCAGAATTGTATTTGATACAAGAATAAGAAAATCATAAACAATTTTCCATCCACTTCATAAATATGCAGCAGCTTCATAAAATCTCAGTGCAACACAAGTTTCATTTCCACACATGACACACGTGACAAAGGTTTATTGGCTATAATTATATTTTTAAACAGCTCATGCTTTCTTACTACAGGACAAAAGTAAGTACTGTTAATGTCTTGATATTTCCTGTTCAGTCACTGATCAGTGGGTTTCCTCCACTGTGGATCTACTCATGGGTGACATTTATTCATATATTACACTATGATGTTGTACCAGTAACCTGCAGGTTCAGCTCCATAATGAAGGTGCTTCCAGCTCTATGTCACTTAGTCCAATGTGAATTATTGGCTATTGATCAGCAAACAGCCCTCTCTGACAGCGGCACAAACCTGCAACAGTGGTTTTACACATTGAGGGTGGGTGGCTTCCTGAGGAGCGTGTCCTAGAGAACAAACACAAAGGCTGATGTTAGACTGATTTCAGCGTGATTATGACGTGAAGTCAGTAGAAAACAGATCCATGGATGGATCACCTACTTGCTAGCTGCTCTGTCCTGCTGTCCAGTTATGAGGGCAAAATTACTTCGGACTGTCCTCAAGCTGGCGAGGACCTAAGGACAGGAACAGGAAGTTAATCAAACCGGACCTGTGTAACTTTGGTGATAGAACAGATTTAGCCTCATCCTCTACGTATTTAATTTATTGTTTTACACAATTAAATATGACCCTGTATTGAATCAGTGGGCTCAGTTTGATGCCATTGCTTTCATCCTCCCAGATGACATGCAGCACAGATGCATTCCTCTTTCCCCTTCTGATGTTTTCATAGCATCACTAGCTCTCCTCTGCATTCTGACTGTCCTTCTATCAGGAGCTGACAACTGACTCAGCGTGCAGAGAAGGCCTGCAGAGTATCGAATGTCCAGGAGTGACCCTTGTGGAGGGCGCACAGGCTGACATGCAAAACTGAAACAGCACCACCCGGCAGTATTCGATTCACCTCTTCTGTCAGAGTGTAAGCCGAGCACAAGCATGACGCACGTCCCACGCAAGAGTCAGGCAACACCAGCGGGAAGTCTGGTTCTGTCACAGAGCCAGCCCCCGGGCCCGGAGCGGAGGGCTGTTCCACTGCAGCGCTCACACACCAGCTGGCTTTGCCTGCATCATTTTATCTCATTATCACTGCATGCTACAGGTTTTAATTATGTAAAGCACGTTGAAATGCCTTGCTGCTGAAATGTGCTATACAAATAAAATTTGATTGATTAATTGATACAGTGTGTGGCTTCAGAAATATGGATTTGTGGGCAAACTTAGCATTAGCAGCAGCAACAAAACTTTCAAATTAAAAGTCTTTGGAGGACTCACCTGTGCAAATGGTGTGACAATCATATCTTCTGAGTGTCTGCAATCAGGAAAAGAGCACTCAAGAGTGGAATGTATGCAAATATACGCCATTCCTGCACTTTAAGATTTTATAAAGACTTAAAGGGGAAGTATTATATGTTTTCCAGGCACATCGTGCCATTTTATAGCACAACCAAGTGACTATGTTAAAAATGCTAAAAATGTTAAAAATGACTTACAAGACAGTTTCCTTTGTAATTTAAAGCCTTGAAAGTGGGTGCCTGTCTCTTTAAAAACTCCTGATCTTTCTGAAACTCTGTCTTTAGGAAGTCATCACAATAAGGCTCCTATATTAAAACTGTAGCATTTTTACCAGCGTTACTCGGAGAAGCTATAAAGAGCTCAGCTGATGCATAGTTCCTCCAGGTGTTTGCTAATTGTTGCTGGCTAGTCTGAAGGCTACTCAGTGAGGCAGAAGCTTGGAAGCTTAGAAACCGCAGCTCTGAGAAGGAGTTGCATCTAGAAGGTGGGGCTAGGTCTACCCAGGCGTTTTGCACAGCTGAATGGTTGCCATGGAGATTAAAGGATTTTTCAAACATGTATTAAAGAATCAAAGCAACATTCCAGGTATGTTTTGATGAAGAAATAACATTACAACATGATGTAAAGCTCAAAAAAGTTGGCTTCTATATAACACTGCCCCTTTAAAATATTAAAATACATTAAACAACTGTGCCAATTAATTGAAAACCATGGTGCGCCTCACTGTAAAGTATTGCTTCTGCTTTTTTTTATTTTAAGACCTGCAAAGGAACAAAAATAACAAGCAAAAGGAGTGGCTGGCAAGGAAACAATTGGGATGAAAAACACATTTTGAAATAGTAAATAATAACAGGTGGAATTCATATTTTTGTTACATGCAAACATTAAAAGAAACTAAAGCAAACTGGATGTGCAACAGCGGCCATCAGCAGAGTTTGCAGTTTAGTGGTGGTTGTAAAGAACTGAGCTGGGATGTGTCAGGCTAGAGGGAAAGCAAAGGAGGGATTTAGGAGGCAGAGCAGGTTTGATTTTCTGATTCTGCTCGATCTTCTCACCGAGACGACAACCAGTTGACCTCCCAGTGCTTCAAGCTTTCTTCCCTTTAAAAAGAGATATGCAAGAGTGCATGAGGAGACCTGAGACCCGCTTACTGGACAAATGTGAAGTTTTTTCACAGTGTGAACTTGAGATTGCCTGATTTGAGAGATACTAAGCATAACATAGATGAAAAATATTTCTTTAAAACTGTGTGCAGTGCCTGCAACATATGGCATGGGTTTATAGAACTTTCTGAACAATTAAAATATAAAACTGGAAGAAAGAAAAAAAGATTATACTAAAAGTAAAGGGGGGACAAAAAGGTTCCACC